CTAACCTCTGTTTCTTTTTATCTATGAAAGCAATAAAAGTTATAATTTACTAAACTAAAAATTCACTTGAAAGCGCAATAAGTATTTAAAAAATCAAAACGTTTTTGTGGTGTTGACCGTGTCAAATTGCGAATAGAAACTATCTAAAAATTCAAAGGCGTGTCTGAATTCCGTTCGAAATAAGCAGTTTTAAAACTGTATTTGATATTTTTGTGAGATTTTTATATTTCGCTGTATTTTACTGTAATAGAATTCACAAATACATGTTGTTACGAAAAAGGGGAAATAAGTACATCCACTCGTGCAACGATGTTTGGTAGGAGTTCTGTTCACCTTACAGAAGTTACTGACGCTAGTCTGACCCAAGTATACTCGCCCGCAACGCCACTGACCCGCGTAACACCAGGAAGAAAGGCTGACGTTTTTTATCCTCAGTCTCTCTTCCGCAAAACTTAATGACGAAGTTGGGCGAATCGCATTGTTGTCGTATTCCACAGTGCGATCCCAAGGGTTTCGTCATTAAGCTTTAGGATCCCCGCGGTGACAGTATTGAAATTCGACACATTAGTGGACACCAGCTCTGCGTGAGCATTCACATTTGCTCGTGACAGTCAATGCCTCGACAGGCATTTGGGTAGCAGCTCGTGCCCAATCTCTGCAGTGACGAAAATGGTTGAGTCTCAAAAATGCCTAGAACGCAGCGCGTGCACTGTACTTCGTCCACTCTTGCGTGTATCTATTCTAAACATTGGCAATATGTAGACGAACAACTCTTTGTGAAATTCATTCTGGCCACTTTGATAACTATAATCACCTATGTGTATAATCTACATATGCTAATGGCGGCCTTTTGATAAATACTGAGGAAAGAATTTGAAGACGGACGCCTAGGTGGAGCTTCAACATTCCAGAGGTTAGTTCGTTGTCACCATAACGAGACTTGTAAGGTTATGTGCGCTACACATGTGAGAGTATAATGTAAATCCTTGAAACGTTAGGCTTCGGCACGCCCCAAACAGCTCACGTTCATGACAATAAAATGTGGTGAATGTTATGAATAGTTTTACTGAGCTAAGAGCCTCGTACATAGTGGTAGTTTTTTGACACACTCGAAGATGAAACAAATAAAACAAATCCTGTACAACGAAGAACACCGTAATTTCATACGTCTGCCGATGATGAATATGTACTAGATCTTAAACGCCATCACCATACAAAAATGAAGACTGATGTATGGGTCACTAGATGGCCCTGAATTTGTGAAAGAGCATGGTTAAGTTGTTGGTCCTCCCGGTGGTGTGGGAGGCAGGTTCCGTTACGATGGTCTGGAGCGTGGTGGAACGAACGTCGCTGAGTGACGGGTCGACTCAGTGCTTAGAGCACTGTGTGCATTTATTTACACTAGTTACAAGTCCCAACTTGGGAGACCATTTTGCCTCGTCTAGAGGCTCTACCCCAGTCCCCAATTTTTCTCAATCGAATACAATTCAAATCTAGCTTAAAATCCTCTCGGCACTCCTTTTGTGGGCCCGTAAGGGCCTCCTTTTCTCTCAGGGACCAACCAATCCCTTCAAGTTCCACCCCTCCCATCTGATACACTGTTACCCAATGGTCGGCGAGTTGTCAGCCTGGCGCTCCAACCGCCAAAACCAATTCCTCCTAGAGTCGTTCCCTGCACTTTTTCCAGTTTGGCTGGCGCCAACAGCTAAATTATTACACCGGGCGAAATGCAACAATTTGACACTAAGTGGCGAAACCTTCTACATACAGGCACACTCGGTTAAAAGCCACAATCAGCTCCAAGCGCGGGCTCTCCCAGGGATCTGTCCGAGCAGACCTCCGAAACCCGAAACGCTTCTTAACGACCGCGGAGGAACCGCTCCCACCTCTCGGCCGCACTGACCCCGCAAATTCTCTCTCCAAAACGCCGACACCAATATAGAAAGCTAAAAAAATGCCGACGGAACTGTGGAAAGATAACCTTTTCTAACAAAAGAACACACCTTAATTAATAGACCTTTTTTTCAAGGGCGCCGCCATCTTGAATTGTCGTCACTTCAAGTATGGGCGAAAACATTGTTTTGTCGTCGCCACGCCAATAGAACGCATTTCGGAGAAAAGCGTAACCGTCACCCATTCTTGTTTTCTCTCCCCTCTATTTTTTTACTATATGCAGGCTGAAACGTTCTAATATTCTTTCGTCGCCCATACCGGATATGCCTAGTTGGCGGTCGGGGGCGAGAGTAAGCGAAAAATGTCTATAGGCATGATTTTTATATACTGAACTAGTATAATGCAAGTTTCGCACCCCGACTAATGCAACATGGACATCAGCACGCGAAGCGCGCGCGTGAACGTGGCCTTGACAGGCTTGCATTTGCAGTTTCTTGCCCGCACGTGCAGTAACATGGCGGCGACAAGACGCCTTGCTTGTAATCGTCTTATCCATATCACGTGGTCTCTTGTTCTGTCTGCGAGTCAACGCTACAAGATTACCTCAGTTGTGGAATTCCCTCGGAAGGCGGGAATTCCACAATTGGGGAATTCCCACCTTCCGCCCTCACTCACTTCACTTCACCTCCCGTCGTCTGAAGCGCAATCTGGATTTTCGCTTCCTAACTGTGTGCTCCATAGAGTAAGATGGAGCGCCTTCTAGACTCTGTGCGTCAAACGTACGTATTCTATAGTATATACTTGAGGTACCATAGCAGCCGTCCGGAGCCTCGAACGACGGGAGGCGAGGCGTGGTGAGTGATAGCTGCGTCCCACTAGAACGACAGACAACGACAAACGACAGCGACACACGACACCGAGCGACAAAAGATATCGACAGACAGCCTGTTTGTCGTAGTCCGCCGGAGTCCGCCGTCCCACCTGGCGGACACGACGAAGAACACGGGGACAAGGAAATTTGTTTCCTAGTGGCACTGGAGTTGTCAACAAAACACTTCAAAATACACAGACAAACGGAGTCGGACGACACGGTTTTCGTGTTTCGCTCTTTGAGCGAAAACGCTTCGACAAACATGGTTGAAGTGGAGACGGCTATTTTTCTCTTCGAATACTTTATTAAATAATCGATCACGGGCGCGACGGAATGACCATCGACACTGATACCACTGATCAGTGGGATTTCAAGTTTTCAACGGCCAGAATCGTTTTTTGTGCGAAAAGCCTACTCGCACACCGCACGAACGATGGCCGCGAATGGTGTCGAATTCAATTCTGAATTAGAAGGTATCTTAATACAAATGATCGAGGATCGCCGGTTCCTGTGGGATATCAGACATCCAGATTACCATAAAAAAAAACTTAAAGGAGCGGGCCTTCGCCGACATCACGGGCGCCTTGGGGTTCGGCGACAGGAGTGAGTACTCGTTTATCTTTTTGCTCCCGATGTCAGAAATCATCAAAAAGATCCAGAGCCGCAATAGACCTATTGCTAAATTACCCAAGCATCGAGCAGAACGCAGGGATTGGTGTTCCACGCGCCGCATGTGCTGGACTCGGCGGTAGTAACTTTTCTAATGCAAATGCCCAAAAACAAATTGCATCTTGCACGCGCGTTCGTCAACTCTTTATTTTGGTTATTACTTCAAATGCTTTATACGGGGAAGGCGTGCGCGTGGAACACTAATTTCTGTATTCTCCTTGATGCTTGGGTAATTTAGCAATAGATCTATCCTTACCGCACGACGGCCGCATTTTTGGTGCTCGCGGAAGCAGTGGCGAAGGCAGGGAGATGGTTTAGGGAATCCCCCCCCCCCCTTTTCTTTTTCTGAAAATATTTCTTTAAAATCTTGTTTAGTAAAGGAACACATATATTGGATGACTACCGAATTGCTCTACCTAGCCGGGGGGTTGGGGACGGCCGTGTTCGTACCGGTGAATTGTACAGTACATCGACTACTACAAGCAAAGATGAAACAAAGCCCCCCCCCCCCACCTCCCCCTCTCCCTTCCCTTCCCCCCCCCGCCCCCTTAGTCATAAAAATCCCAACCCGTCCCCGAAAATAATTCTCGACTACGCCACTGCACAGAAGTAAACATCTCTTTAGATCAGCAGACACACCAGTTTTATTCAAGAATGACTGAGTAAACACATTAGCATAAATTTCGGAGATTTGACATCAACACACTTTGGAGCATTCAACACCTCAAAATTGTGCAGCTGTTTGTGAAGGTGTCATAATTTTGTTTCAATACATTGCAGTTGACAAAGTAAAGAACAAGTGGACGAACCTCCGGCCCCAGTACCAGAGAGAGAACCGGAAGGTAAAAGACACGCAACGCTCTCGTGCTGGGGCCGACGATGTCCATGTCCCAAAATGGGTGCACTTTAAGAAGATGAAGTTTTTGTCCGGTGGCGCACCGGAAGCTCCAAGTGAGTCGACTGCCGAGGCGCCTGAAGCAGTACATGTTTCCCAAGAGGATATGGTGAGTGCCTTAACCGAGGGGACTTTTCCCCCTTGACCGAGAAAAGTTGGTGCTTGCAGCATACATTTCGGGGGCCCAGGATCGCTAAAAAATCGAGTTCATGACCAAACGGTATGACGCCTACGGTGCCCAAATATTTAGCTCCACGACGGAGAGGAGTACTCATTACATGTGGCCATATATTTGCCAAAAGGTGCTGCAGATCTGCATGCTATAGCCCTCACACAAAAATTGAGAAAATTATATTTAAAAAAGCACTTAAAAGATTATTATAATACCCATCACTGTTGATGTCAGCACCTCCAAATATGGGAGGATTGCAGCAGTGTTCCATAACAACTGCAGAGATATCTTGTCTCACTGAGTGTATGAGCCCCTCCCTATGCCTTAGGTTTTACTTCGGCAATTAGTACCTTGTGGAATCATGATGGCCTTGTTAACTACACATGTTAAACTGTTTTTGTGAAAAACTGCATGTTACATACACTAAAAGTCCAATATTTTGTTTAACACTTGTGTGAAAATCTGCACATAACATCCACTGAAAGTTCTCTTTAGTTCAACACTTGCAAATGAAAGAAAAAGATAAGATGCAACACAAATTGTCTGCAGGATTCCTGCCATGTGCCCGATGACTACAGGTCCGAAGACGAAAGCCCACCACCTGAGGCACCGGCCAAAAGGAGCCGCCGTCACAGCACGGAGGAACTGGCGACAAACAAGGCGGCACTGCTGCAGGCAGCTGTAAACAGCCTCAAGTCTGCCAGGGAGGTGGAGCCTGATGAGTGTCGGGGCTTTGGCCTGATGATGGAGGGGCTTGCTCGGACGATACCAAGGGGTACCAGCAGGCAGCTGGGCATGCTTGCCGCGCATAAGGCCCTCGTGGAAGCAGCCATATCTTCACAGGTCGTTGTGGTGGCTGCGCCAGAATAAAGGAAGTCTCCATATGAGCTCTCTTCATGTTTACTTGTTGAGTAGTACAAGACACCCGTGATTTCCCTACCGACCCCCTAGAGGGGGTGGGGGGGGGGGGGGGGGGGTGTACACCCCCCCTTATGGCCAATTCGTCTGGGCCCGTATCGCACGATGCAGTGCGGTTCGTCGTACACGGAGGGCTATAGGCGAGAGGGAAGCGTCCTTCTCTCCCCGCCAGCCTTTCGTGTATAAAGTGGAAAGAGTTTAGTGCACTGGACGGGTGCGGTGCGGAATCCCGGAAAAAAGGTCACCCATTTTTTAAAAGACCCGGACAAAAGCTCACCAGGAAAAAATTTCGTGTTGGTTTTATAGAGAAACCAAGTTTAGAGAAAAAGGCGATAAACCTCCTTTTAGCGAATTCGGCCACCGCGAAGCGGCGTGTATGGATAAGTCAGGTGATTTAACATTTTTGTAATGAGCCGCCGCAGACTGCCGCCGGCGAAGCGGCAGAAGCATAGCAGGGGGTTTGGATTAATACACCAGTAATACACGCGCGAAGTAGAAAAGCCTTTTTTAAATAGCGTCCCCATTTCGATAAACGGCATATCTCTAAACTGAGGCTCTGCTTTCTCTAAACCGTGCTTCAATAAAACGTGCCCGTTCTCTAAAACATGTTTCGACGGAATGGCATTCGATCAACCGTAGTAAACCCTTGCGTGGGATGGGGCACAAGTTCACCTAAATATGGTGCAATGTCCATTGCGTCCGCATTTTATTTCAGTCCGTGTTTTGCCCGGGTAGCGAAAAAAAAAGAGGTGAGCTTTTGTCCGGGTCTGTGAAAAAAACGGGTGAGCTTTTGTCCGGTGAGCTTCTGTCCGGTGAGCTTTTGTCAGGTGAGCTTTTGTCCGGTTACCGCGGTGCGGGCCCAGGTGAATTGGATATTAGTTTGTCTGATGGCACCCATGAAAACAGAAAAATAATTGCCTCCGTGTGCTGAACTCCCTCCTCCCCCCCTTTCCCTCCCTCTCTCTCCCCCCAGACACACACCCTAATTTTAATTTCTGGGGAAACCACTGCCAGACACTTTCTCGTAAGTTACATTCAGTGCAGGGAAAAGGTACAGATCAGTGGATGTAGATTTCCAGCAGAACATCACCTATTTATTAATCTACACCACAACATACTTATCCAAAATTTGTTTGGATAAGTATGGATAAAAACAAAGAACAGATCTCAGCTCAGAATCCATAACCACCCAAGCTCTGTTAATTTACTGTTACTGTATTCCATTAGCTATCAAACAAATGCTCGGTATTACTTGTAATATGTGTCAGATTCCTATACATTGGAAAATAAGGAAATCTTATGGCATTAGAGAAATGTGGGGGCCATCCTTTTCGTGGATTGTGAAGTAGCAAAGCTTGGAAGAGACTGTCTTAACAAATGACACATACCATTACTTCAGTAACTTCCACTGCCAAGAGATTTGGCCTTCATCCCAGAAGTACTCCTTAAAGACCGTCCGAACGGCTTTGGCGTCGGTTGATGGCTTGCCGCCAATGCGTTGCACAGGGAAGACTACCTTGTCGTTCACGTCTTTCCTCCATGTGCCACCGCGTACTGTTCCTGAAGTAGAGCAAGAATAAAAAGCATTTTGTAAAATGGAATAGGCATATGCTAACAGTATATGAAATTAAATCCTCATTGGGCGCGCTAAGTTTGCACTCGTTTACTCCTACTCCGACACTCCAATTTTCAAACTCCAAACGCAGCAGCTAAATGGAGCATAGATACGGGAGTGCAACACACCGAAACTATAGACGAGCCGCATGAGCCACTTCCAAAAGCACGGTTCTGATGAACCCATCATCTCATGGATACGAGTGGCAGAAGCCAAAATTATTTTGAACATAAATTAATGAAGGCCTCTGTAACGCAGAAGTTAAAAAAAAGGACTGACGTTAGGAAGTTTATATATGATTGTTTTAATATTTGTGAAAAGTCTGAAGACTTCTTTCGAGCATGTATGCGGAAAGTTCCTCGACTGAGCTATTCATTGACCATGCATATTGTTCAGATTTAAATTAAAGAACATTCCTGAACCCGCTTGTCGACGCAAAAACTGTCAAACTTGTCAGATGTCCCGTGGTTCCATCTTGCTACACAAGACTGAATCCATCGATCTACTATGTCGATACCGGCACACAGCCGTTCAATAGATGCCATGCCAATTCGTTTTCAGGCGAGATGTATGAACAAACCTTTTCCGCAACGTTAACTGGTTCCGGCTCTTTAATTGAAGTATCTTTATTCGCTGGGCTAAGCATTCTAAAAAGGGCCACGGTTCGAATGTCTTTTTCTCTCCACAACTTTTCTGTCGTTGTTCTATTGGCAAGCTACCGTTTGATAGATGTATTCGTTTTCAGGCGAGATGCACAAACAAACCTTTTCTGGAACGCTAGTTGCTGTCTTGGCTTTCAAATCAAATTGTTTTTACCTACTGATTAAGCACTATTCAAATAAAAAGGGCCAGCAGTTCGGGGGGCACCCTACGTCTCGGCGTTTCGGTCACTGCAGCCATTTTATTTGTGGATGTGACATCATGGAGCGTGAAGAAGTCACTCACACTTTGAGAAATGCTCGGTGCATAAAGAGTGCACTCGAGTGTCAGTCTCCGACGGCGCTCCTTTCCGTTTACTGAACGGAGTGCCAAACTCTCAAGCTCCAGAGCACGGACCTCACATGTCCATTATCAACCGCAAAAAGAACTATCAAACTCTAAAGGGGCTATGTTATTTGAGGTGTGTCCCCTTTTTCTGTCTTTTTCGCTCCATTTCTTTTCCCACCTCAATGTCATGTTAGCCATCATATTAAACTTACACCAGGTTGCCTGTACTCTGATTATTTTCTCATTTATCTTATGCTACATTTCTACAAGCTAGAACTGCTGCTAGGGAAAGGGGCACAAAATATAGGAAGGCGAGACGTAAGTGGCACATGGGTGACATAGCATTGAATGGGACGACTCAAGCGGACAACTATTGCAAGGCAACAGGAGGATCACAATAGCAGGAATGGCTTGCTTTCGTTGCGGTAGCTCCAGAAGGGGTGTTTGGCTATGTAGTATTGTGATCAATGTGAAAGGTAATACGACCAAGCTTCTTGCAAGGACTACAGCTGCCGATTATGTACCAGTGGCGAGATGTGCGTCCCAGTAGCGTTACATATGTGTACTTGGGTCGCTCTTCTGTTAGTTTTCTTGTGCACAGTCTGTAAAAATGAAACCCAAAACCGTTTAAGCGACCCTTTAAAGGGAAACTGCACTAAATTCTTTTGATTTCCATGTTACGACTATTTTTTACTAAGTCAGCAACCCTGAGTTACGAAATATAATTTGCTTTCGGTAGTGTTTATAGTTTTGCATATATCTAGTTTCAAATTTTTGTTTTTGCGCTTGTGGCGAAACAAATATCGGCTCCTCCACTGCAGCAACATCAGTGGCAGAAACTTTCGTACCCCTGTAGCAACTGGGCTCTGTACGAGTGCCGGCACTCTCTGCGTCTGCCAAGGAAACTGCCGCACTGCTGAGCTACTGTTCGAATTGGTGATATCCTGCCGATTCCTTTGCAATTAGGGTAAACATTTAAAGGGATACTTCAACGAAATTTGAAATATTCCCGTCGTGTTCAAAAATAGGTTGAATATGATCCACAATATTCGTAAATGACAATCGCACGTTTGTATTTTGAGCCTGGTGGCTGTATTTTTCGTTATAAACGGCCCACTCTGGCAAGCGCTCGGAGAAGGCCCAGCGGAGACCACGTGAGATCCAACGCAATCGTGACGTAGGTCGTCTCAAGACGAGCAAAGCTACGGCGAGGCTGACGTCGAGAGGATGGCCTAGTCGTTCCAGCCACCGAAGCGGCTGCTTTTTGTACAAATTTTGAGTGACGGGTTAATCTTCTATAATCTTGTAGGGGGACAATAGCAACTTCTGCGACACACAAAAGGTATTCTCCTGAAGAGGGGAGTTCCTCCTGCCCCTCTTCTCTCGTCGTGGCCGGAGACGAGACAACCTCCGTCACTAGCTGCCAAGGTTGCTAGACGGGCATTACAAGCGAGGCGTTAGCGACATCCACCAGGTGCTCTTTGCTAATCGTTTAATTCGTTTTAAAATTCTTTTTCGTGACTTTTAACAAGATATTGGTATGTTCGATTTGATGGTGCTTTTTTGAACACATATAGACCAAAAAATGAGCGCCGAAATTTCGTTGTAGTATCCCTTTAAAGGATAATCAAATAAAATGTAAAGCCTACGGACAGTTACCCGAGAAACTGAACTGAAAGGTGAATGATGCAAATTGTGGTTCACAGTTGGTTATTTATGTTTTAAGAAAAGGCCTATAAAAGAGGATTGTGATCGTCGACCCAGAAACAAGCTCTACAATGCTGTGTAAGGACAGGAGGCAACAGTTTGGTGAAACCTGTATATGCTGCTACAGCCAGCAAAGGACGAAACTGAAGTGCTTGTCACTGTTGCCTGACAAAGGCTGACCTGCTTATGTCGGGCAAGACTGGAAGGCACATGCTTAAATGTGCCTTCTAGTCTTTAGCAGTTCCACTTGGTGTTGCCTGGTTTAGTTTCGTTTTCAAAAATATGTGCCCACCCATGCCCACCCACCTCAGAAAACACAGTAATTGCTGTTATAACAAATCAAATACATCAATTACCTGAAAAACCAATGGTGGGCGCAGGAGTTCATTTGAATTGCACATCACCATTCTTATGCCCAACGTTAGCACTAGGACAGAGTGTCTGGATAGTACCAACGTCAAATAGCCCATTTTGCATTTACCTGTGAGGACGTCCTCAACGTCGAGACTTTCTGGAGGCGTGTATCTCCCCCTTGAACTGTTCTTCGTCCGGAGGAAATTGTGCAATGCAATTGTTGCCTTCACAACTTTGACAGCCCTGTGAGGCTTTTGCCGAAGAGGGTGCCCGTAGACTTGGAACCGGTTGCGGAGGATTCCGAAGCTGTTTTCCACAATGCGACGTCCCCGGGAGAGTCTGGAAAAAGAAACAATAATCTTGCATAACTAATGACCCTTCATACTGTACTTTTAAAAGTGCAGGCATGCTCTTTTAAAAACCTTCAATAAGTACTGATTTCCTATTGCCATGGCAGAACTGCTAGCTGTCTTCAACTTGATTCCCAGTGTAGCATATAGACCGACACGTGGGCTTGACATTATAGAGCTGCGGTGCGGCTGCGATCGCGCCGGAGCCGGTGGCGTGGGTAGAAGGGCGCACATTTTCCATGGGCGTCATAGAATTTCAGCATGCCGCAAAGCTGTGCAGCCGTTAATTTCACCGAAAGGTACAGCAAAAGTAGTGAACTGAGTTGCCACAAGTTCCAGGCAGGCTTTAAAAAGCGCAAAATTTGAAGAATATCCGTTGATCGAAAAGAATGGTCGCCTCATGAGGACGACCGTTTGTGCGGCAAGCACTTTCTTGAAGGCAAGCGTGGCTTCCATTTTAAACTCTGTCCCGAGGTTCTTATGTGCATGTAACCCATCGTCTGATCGAGGCCACCCAGATTTTGCTCCCACGGTTTTCACGCACAAAGCACCGGCCAAGTGCTCGTTAAGTCGCTCTGTTGCCGTACAAACGCTGAAATTTACCAGTGTGTTAGAATCTCTCAGAACAAACGTATCAGTGGCCCCCGAGATGTTTATCACCTTCCGTGTGGGGGTGAAAAATTTAACATTTGTCGACAAAACTCCCCCAGCAGAAACCTCTGACTGCTCAATAAGCATCAGAGAATGCTAAACACAGTGACTTTACCCGAGACTTGGGCAGCATCATCATGTTTAACATTTACCTATGTCAGCTAACTTGCCCTGTCGTATTTTGTGCGAGAAAGCTCTCGTTCTCGACGCCCTCACCAGGGCTAATTAATATCTGATTCACCTGTAATGACCATCGAAATCGAAGGTCCCACGAAAAGTTTTGCTGGATAATCCAACGGACTAGTTTTAAGCCTTACCCTTTCAGTGGCTCACGCATAATATTATGGTCAAACAAATCAAGCTTCTTCTTGTACAGCATCATCAGTTTTCTTCAGGGTAAACGGTTATAAGAATTGAAAGATTGCAACCAGCTGCTTTGTAAACAGCTGGTTGCAGAAATTTACGACGCCTGTAACTATCTCTACAACAGCCGAGTTGCTTGAACTCATTGCAACTATAAACTACAGGTTGCAGCGACCAACATTTGTAGATAAACGTTGGTAGCGACTGCACTCTCTCATTCTCACCCATCACTCCGAACAAAAAGGCACTAGTTTCGGTTTGAGGTCGGTACCCTTTCTACAACATAGATGGCGGCAGCCTCAGTCTTCTGCACTCGATGCATTTGGCAGGATCGATTGAGTCCAGTTCTCCGTGCAACACTCTGCGAGTGCGATGCATTTTGGGGGAGAGCTCGAGCGGTGCCAGTGCGTGTCAAACGAACTCGCTAGTGCTTTCCCTTTCTCCCCTCGTCTGGTGTTGCCTTCGCCTGTCTTGCACGCAACTAGTGACACGGAGTAAAGGTTCAAAAGCTCATGTCAACATCTGAACTTCAGACAAGTGGATGACAAAGCAGGCATCTCTAGATCTGGATTTCCGGAAAGTCCAATCTCCAAGGGACAAGAATATGTAGGGCAGGACAAGAATATGTAGGGCATTGTATTATTCCCAGGCATTGCCTATGACAGCTATGTGAGACAACGGTGGTGGACACCACCATAGGCAGTCATAATATGTGCAATGCCAAAAACTCTTGGTTGGTAGATAGTTGTGCTATAGGTAGCTTTATAGGGGGATGTGCGATTCAATTTGATTGAGAAATCAATATTCGCACGTCAGTTTTCATGATGGAGCACGGTACCCAGAAATGGGGCCTTTGCACATGCGGCGAATCTTCAAGAGCATTAGTAGCACGAGGTGAAATGCTCGGGGATGCGCGTGACAACATACCTTCCACTGTATTAATGGCACATCTAGTACCTGGGCATAGCAACCAATGTGATGCGACATGAAAGCTATGTATTGTCATTCTCACTACAGGGCAAATGCAAGGCAAGGCTTACTGATAGTGGCACAGCGACGGTAGAACAGTCTGTACTCACCGATAGTTGAACATCGTCTCTGGATCCTTTAGCTCAGCTGCTGGAAAGGGCCTCAGCAGGTACGGCTTGAGTCCAAACCCTTCGTCACCAATAATAACGAACGGTGCCACCTTCGATGAGTTTGGCAGCTGTGCTGGCTCCGGGAAACCAGCAGAGCCACGGTCGATATGTGCCCGTAAGCTTGTGGCAGCCCAGACACCGCTATCGTTCATCCGTCCATTCCTGCCCACATCTGCGTACAGGAACTTGAGGTCGGCATCTACAAGAGCCATCAGCACAATGCTGAATGTGCCCTTGTAGTTCCGGTACATGGCTCCTGTACCCAGAGGTGGGCAGATGGTCACATGTTTGCCATCTAAGGCGCCCAGACAATGCGGGAACTGCCAGAACTCTTCAAACCCCCGGGCAACTTGTCTCCACTCGCCCGGCGTTGATGGTAGCTTGAAAGAAAGAGGAAGACATGTCAGCCAACTGTGAAACCCTCATAGAAAGGAAACACCTGATCTACTAAACGGAACTTTGTCTACTTACTGAATTGAACACTAAAAAGTCATGTGCGCCCAGTAAGTGGACTCGCCAAATTTACAGGCAGTGCACTGTGCAGCCTGGGTAGACATTCTGGTGACCCTTACACATTAATGGGATGCACAAAATTGCAAGTACAACATAACAGAAAAATCAATGCTGCAGCGTCACTCCCGTGATGGTGCTAGTATCAGTGATAGTGATAGCAATCTTTATTTGACCAGGAGATCCACGGTTTCGCAAAAAAAAGCAACAGCCCACACCATACAGGCCCAAAGTGCCGCATCTAATGACAGTCATTATGTCATGAATACTATATACAAGAGCCATGAGATGGTCTATGGGTTATTATAGAATGGTCGTTCAAGCCCCGGAGGTGGCACTTGAGGCAAGTCAACAGTAAACCGAGGTCACCAACAACTCGAGAGGCAATGGAATGCTGTGCGAGGTGCGAATTGGAGTGTTCAGGGCATGCAAAACACGAGTGTAGACACGGTTTCTTCAGGACACTTGGCCTGCAGGACGAGACAGCTGAACATGTCGTTATGGAGTGACTGACAGCTTAGGCCGCCAATGCCACTAGATGTGGAGGGCTATGGTGTTGCACTGGGGCTGAGCGGGTTGAGACCAACACCACTGACCAGATAGGAGCAGATGACGTGCATTAGTCAAGATGTAGGTCGAGACCATGGTGGCCAGCAGGACGATGTTTGCGCCCTTGAACGGTTGAGATTACAAAGTGAAGATGGTAAGACGGGTGGGGGAAAACTGTGAGGAGGGGGGTTCAGGGCAGTCAAACCTAGGTTTTTGACACTTCTCTTTCCTTTTTTGATACTTCTCTTTCCTTTTGGCTAGATCACAGTTTTGTTAAAACTGTGATTGCCCGACACAAGGGGTTAGGTCACCATATCTGTGTGTCAAAAGCTTGTCCCTCTGCTTCTGTTCTGACACCACTGTGTGGCTTTAATTGTGATGGTATGTTTACGAGATAAACCTACCTTGATGAAGTCAGGTGCCAAAACTTCATATATAGCTATGCACACTTCGTGCACTATCTTGGGGACCGTGTTGTGGGCCCTCCTGAACTGGAAACCAGTAGAGGCGAAGGTCTCCCCTGGAATGAAGGTTCATTGCATTGAAATTAGTGAAAGCACTCTATATGCATTCTAAACAATCAAGTATGCCACCATGGTATACAAAATGCAGGGTTTTCAGGGAGCAATTTCAAAGGTGACTTTCACTTGATCATATTTACCCACCGATAATGGTGATTATTGATGCGACTCCTGTCAAAACTGGGAAACTGACCGAAACTCGGGTGGGTAGACCGCTGAAATTTTAGGAATACAGCGGACGATAGCCAGCAACATCAGTATGATAAGGATTGTTATATCAATATACTGAACCCAGCCAGCGGTGTGAGGTTGCAGGGCTATTCTTTATTTACAATTTATAAAAACTTCCAGATTCACCATAATTGATGGTCTACCGGCGGTCCAGATGGCAGCAACCTACTCTAAAATAATTGCAAACATCAGTTTCGCAAGCTATAGCGCTATAATTTACACATATGAGTGGGTAGGCTGTGTATTTAATATAAGAAATTATCAAAGAAGGTGAAAATTTACAAAAACTAACATTGCATTGGAGAGACGCCTATTAAATATATAAAAAAAATAAGACAACCCCGTCGTAAAGCGCTAAAATGTATGATTAAAAAAAATAGGCAAGGAAAAGCATTTTGCCACTTTTCTCAGGGTCAGTTTTGTTGCTTAATCGAACTTCCCAATGGGTCACTCATACAACTTTTCTTGACTGTATTTTTTTGACTAGGGCAAACCTTTTCTTTGATAGTTTGAGAAATAAAATGCGCTACTTAGACGTACTTTAGAGATAAATCACACTGTTATAGCCTGCGAAAGCGAAACTGAATTTTGCAAGTTATGTAATACCCCTGTCAGACTGGCAATTAAATGTCAGTTCTATCGAATGACAACTGAGCGAACGGCCAATCAGTGCGCGCGACGCTCCGGCGTGTGTAGGCGTTGTATGAGACATTAGGGGGGAAAGTGAGAGTCAACTGTGTTCGTGCACAGGACGCATTTGTCACATTGCACGCGCACAGCTGATTCGCCCATCACACAAATGCCATTCGATGGAACTGACCTTTAATTGCCAGTCTGGCAGGGGTATGAAGTTGGTTGCTGCCACCTGGACCGGGGATGTGCGAGTGCGAGCAAACATACCGTTTCCGAGATAAGCTGTCTAGTATGTTAGTACACCGATTTCTGCGACTTCTCACAGCGACATAACTCACCTGTAGCGAGGTAGCGGAGCGTGATGGCGAGTCTTTCGCCTGCCGGAATGGCTTGTCGAAACGGGGTGTCTTGCTTTACTATTAGTGGCCTCACTTTCCCCAGCAGCTCCTCAAAAGTGGCCGTATCCATTCTTATCCAGGAGCGGTACGACTCTGCGTCTTCTAGTGCCAGCTCGCGCATCAAATTCTCGTAGCACCCCTGCTCCCTGTGCTTCCTCAGGTGGGGTCGCATCAACATCCTCCGCTTTTTTGGAGGCTGGATGAGGTCGTCGTCTTCACTCGAGCTTAGGGCTTCTAGCAGAACTAGCCCAGCGAGAGCGAGCTGCCTCTCGCGACACGCCATGACAAAATCAACCCGCGACTTCGCGAACCAAAACCGCCAAAGCAGCGAGCGCGCGATCGTCCAAACGAGGCAAGACCGGAAGGACGCGCGTCGACGCGCGAGGAGAACGCTTGTCGTCGAGTGTAGTCTTTTAGTGGGACTGCCACACGGCGTCCGCGGCGCTACAAGTCAGACGACAAACAAGGTCTTGTCCCTCGTCGGACATTTGTCGATGGTGTCCGTCGCCACAGTGGGACGGGATGAGCGACAAGACACTTTACCATGTCGTCGTACAAAAGTTTGTCTTTGTCGCTCTAGTGGGACGCCGCTATGAGGGGGACGGGGGGGAGGGGGGGGGGGGGGGGGGCTTACTGCTCGAGCAAGCAGCGTCTATGCACAGTTCCGTAACTCAGCTAATCTAATAACGTTGCTAGGATTTGAGCATGTGAACGCTGCGCGTTTTCATTAAATTGTTTCAGCGACTGGCATTGCGTGGAAAAAAAGCGAACGTGTCCTATATAGGATATGAATGTCAAGAAATAATTTTATGCGGTATTTACTGAAAGTAGAAATAATGCTATATCGCCGCTTTGGTAGCCTTACATCATATAAAGTACAATAATGATTATATTTAGCACCCGCCTTTTTTTTTCGCTCACAAAAACTTTCTTTCGGTGTGGGCATTTTTCCCGTTATGAAGGGGCCCCAGTTAGCGTAGTATTATCGAGACGGAAAAGACAAAAGTACGACACCTACCTCAGTACTTTTTATCACAAAAAGTTTTCTTCTGGAACGTACATTACGAGAGACTTTTCCTGCACAGACATGATCCTCATGCATTGAAACTTTTATAATAACGTACGCAAAGGATAGCGTCGTCGCCACATCACTTGCGCCGAACGCTAACCCCGTTTCGCGCTTCCCGTGCCCTACTTTAGCGTCCGCTATTTTTCGGTAATTCCGTGCTCTCATAAAGAGTCTGAGTTACGCCAACGAGGATTCTTTGATTCACGAGAAGTTTGTTGAAGCGAAGACGAGCAGAGTTTGAAAATGGCGGCTCCCAAGACGGACCACGGCTGCGGTCACCTTAGATGGTCGGAATGACCGCGACCTCGACGCCATCCTCGGGACTGCAATTTTAAATAAAGACGACGTTCCACTACCACGGAAGGTGCACATCACAGACTGTTTGGAAGACCCAGCAAGGTAGGTAACGATCGCCGGCAACTGACTGCCCACGACGCGCGAACATTTTTCGGCGAAGGTACGGGATGGGCGAAAGTCAGTTCACGAGACCTCTCTTGTTCGAGGCCACGCAAGCGGACGCGGTCTGCCGACGGGTCCCATCACACTTTCATATTTAATCAAGTATGAAATGTTACTCTCCACCAAAAAAAAACTGTTCTTTTATTTTTGTAGGAGATGCAGTTTGTTTGTGAAAGAAAACTTGTCACTGCATCTTGGTGGCGTTGCAAGCTGAAGAGGCTTTGAATCTTGCGTCGCGGCGGAGAACAGCTATTCTAAAACTTGTGGGAACCACGTGTTCCCCGCATCCCTATCTAGGCCTAGCTCAGGCAGGCCGTGGGGCGTCGCCACGTGGGGACGCGTCCCGGATGCGAGGGCGAAGCCGTGTTCCCTGGTGGACGGCTTTCCCTCGTCCTTCTCGGGTGATTTGCCTAAGGCACACCCATCGGGATCATGACGTGGACGCGTCCGCCCCTCCGGGGGGCCACCTACATCCTACCCACCCCGTGCGCGTAAATTCCCGCAGGCTATATAAGACGGCCCTAATCCAACGGGCGGGACTCTCGCTGGGGGAGGCTCTGCTCGACGGAGCATTCATATCCTTATCTGATCCTCCCCCTCCGTGATACTGTCAATAGCGGCAGCGCGGACTCCGACTGGAGATCCTGTCAAAAAAGACAGCGCCGTCATCTCCAACATTGTTGGCCCTCGGGCAAGCGTGTGGCATTGTCGTGAAATAAACACATCTTTATCCGGACACAAGGAACTTGTCCCTTGTCCCTCTTGTTCCCCTTCTCCAGGGATTATTTTCATCATTATTGTCCAGCTCGCATGCCCCTTTGCATTTAATTGCATTATAATTAGAACCTTCTGTGTTTCCAAGTGGTACCCCAAAAAGGGGAAACCCATAAACTCTAAGGCGTAGCGTACGCTAGTGCAAGTGCTTAATTTAGCGCTTTCGCGCGCTCAAATTGCGTACATTATTCTAAAACTCTCCATTGACGAAAATAATGTAACGGTGTTTGTTTGTTGTCTTTTTTTGCATTTTTTGCGGCCTTTACACCACTGGTATTTTTGTCACCAGAGAGTTCGTACAGACCCTATAGAGTTTCAGCGAACCGCTTTCGTACATCCGATACGGTACGATGGGCCGTCCTGTAAAAACTGCGCATGCGAGTGTTTTCTGCGGTAGCGCATGCGCAATTCATACCGGAGATCCCATCGTAGCGTATCGGATGTGCGAAAACGGTTTCCGAAAACTCGCCACTGTGTGAGGCATGCTTCTTTCTTTTTTTAAGGTCCCATCACTATTGGTCATACGAAAACGGTCCTTATACACGTGCGGAGAATACGTACATCCATAGAACAAACGTATGCTTCGCTATTGTTTGAAGCCTGTCCGCCGGTACTTCGGGTAATAGAGGGTTTTAGGGAACCGGAACAAAATACGATTGATAAACAAAAACGATCGATACCTTGGATCGGGCGTGTGGACCGATCGTGTGCCTTGAAACGGCTTTGGGGGAACCGTATTTGCAGACGATAGCAGACGATCGGTACAGGTCGCGCCCCCTGGCAACGGAAACCTGCATCCGCCTCATCGAGAAAAGACACATTTGCGTCTGTTTGTACAAATCGCAGAAACTCAAGTAAATAAAGATCGCACCCTAAATATATAGAGAACCAAAAATATTGTATACCTACTTATAGTTCGTCTCGTTTTTTTACTGGAATGAATGCGCTTCCGTAATACAAAACCTGGCGCACCACGGCGTGTCGCCCCTAGCACAGCGAAGTTCTAAAATGTTCGTCTGCTAAAGAAGCAGACGAGCTTTCTGACAATGGCCCTCGATCTTTTTGACCATGACTTGGAGTTGGCTCTATTCAGCGAAAGCAATTTAGAAAAAGTTATTTTGTACGACTGTCTGCGCACTAAGTATGGCGTGAGTCTCTTTTGAACTTCCCACTTTCTACAAGCGAGGCACGCACGCGCGTGCCGTGGGGCCCGTGACTTGTGCAGGGGCACGAGGGAATAAACATTCTTTTTGGTGTGCCGTGACCAGAGGTCGGCATTTTAGGTCGCCCTCACTCTCCCTCACCCTCACAGCCACACTCACCTAAGCCCCTCACTCACCCTCACCCTCACAGCCACACTCACCTCAGCCCCTCACTCACCCTCACCCTCACAGCTACACTCACCTTCAGCCCCTCACTCACCCTCACCCTCACAGTCACACTCACCTTCAGCACTTCACTCACCCTCACTAAACCTCACGGCCCTCACGCACTCACCGCCCTCACGGCCCTCACGCCACTCACTCGCTCATGGCCCTCACGCCACTCACCGCCCTCACGGCCCTCACGCACTCATAACCCTCACCGTCCTCACCGCCCTCACGGCCCTCACGGCCCTCACGCACTCATAGCCCTCACGCCACTCACCGCCCTCACGGCCCTCACCGCCCTCACGGCCCTCACCGCCCTCACGGCCCTCACCGCCCTCACCGCCCTCACGACCCCCACCGCCCTCACGGCCCTCACGCCACTCACCGCCCTCACGCCACTCACCGCCCTCACGCCACTCACCGCCC